CTCGGTGGGGGGGGGGAGTGCCGGGGCGGGCGCGGCTCCAGCCTGTCCCTGTCGCGCAGGTATCCAAGCGGCATGTCGTCCCCGGCGTCCACCCCGAGCCGCCGCAGCCGGCGCGGGAGGACCACCCCGGCGCAGACGCGTGAGTATCGCGCCGGCACGGGCCCCGGCCCCGCAGCTCTCCCGCTCGGGCTTCACGCGCGACCCCGCAGCGCCGTCCCTGAGCAGGTGGGGCGGGACGAGTCCGCGGACGTGCCCGCCCGACTGCGCGGTCCCGGGCGCGCTAGGTGCTAAGCTCCGCCCAGCCCTGGGTGCTGCTTTTTAACAGGATGTTATTAACATGAAAGTTACCATATTTTGCTGCACCTGGAAAAAAGCCGTAATGATTCAGTCGGCGTAGTTAACGTACTTACCTCAACTCTCAGAAAGATTGCATGTAATGTGTTAAGAAGTCTTTGTATTCTGTAGGGCTAAGTATTGCTGCTATTATCTACCTGCAGTTTTGTTTCCATTAATCCGCATTCTTCCTTTCCAGTACCCCACGTCCTTCCCAAGCGCTGGATACTTACCTTGGGTGGGTCAGACCACCCCGTGCTGTTTTTTTACCTCCCATCTGTTTAGTTCATATCTGTTAAGTGGTGATGATTTCCTGAAGAGCTAACGGGAGTTGATTGCTGTCGTTTTTTTTTTTTAGAGAGAGAACTTTTTTTTTTAAAGAGTTATTTAACCTTACTTACTTTAATTTGACCACAGTGAGAGAGAAAGTGAGAAAGCAGGCCACCAGGTCTGGGACTCGAACCACAGTCAGCCATGTGGGAGTCCAGCGCCCTTAACCACCACGCCACCTGTGGTCCCAATAACTTGTTTTTCCTTTTCTATATGACACAAGCTCGCAGTGAGGATGCCAGGTCACCTCCCTCTCGGAGACCCCGGGGAGATGATTCCACCTCCACAGGAGAGCTGCAGCCCATGCCCACCTCACCTGGAGCAGATCTGCAGAGCCCGGCCCCGCAGGATGCCTTATTTTCCAGTCCTCCTCAGCTGCAACCTTCAGGTGTGTATCTCAAGATCCAGGGTGTATTCTTCAGTAACTTAGGCTTGGTCGGACTGGGTGGCATAAGTTCTGCAGCCTAAATTTAGCACCTTGTCTGTGCAGGAACTAGTATGTTTCTGATCAGAAGAGACAGAATAGAGCACAGAGAAAGTAAACCTTAAGGCTTAACAGAGAAATTAGTTTTTTCTATGTGTCAGAATAGATCTACAGGCAACATGCTATAGTTTTGGGTTTGATATGATACCACGAGTCTATCATAAATGTGTGCATTTTGTTTTCTCAGCTCTTCCTCTTGATTTTGATGTTAGCTCGCCACTGACATATGGCACTCCCAGCTCTCGGGTAGAGGGAACTCCAAGGAGTGGTGTGAGGGGCACACCTGTGAGGCAGAGGCCTGACCTGGGCTCTGCACGGAAGGGTCTGCAGGTGGATCTGCAGTCTGATGGGGTGAGTGCACGCCGCAGTCCTCACAGCACTGTTTGATGAACATAGAATGGGCCATTCGGGTGACATTGTTCTATGTATTTTCCTGTGTAGGCAGCAGCAGAAGATGTAGTGGCAAGTGAGCAGTCTCTAGGTCAGAAGCTCGTGATCTGGGGAACAGATGTAAATGTGGCAACCTGCAAAGAAAATTTTCAGGTGAGCTATATGCTAAAATTCCTATCAGAGCTCTGAAAACAGTGGGAGAGAGAAGCTAGTATCTGTAGCCAGGTTGCCATAACACCTAGGAGCAGACTTGGTGGCTTAAAATGGTTGGTGTTTTCCAGAAGAAGAAATGTTATTTATTACCTATCTCCAGGTAGTGACGTACTCATTACTTTGTATTATGAAGCTTTGCTTATTTCCAAATGCATTTAGCTTAATATATATATTTTTGGTCCATCAAGAGATTTCTTCAACGTTTTATTGACCCTCTGGCTAAAGAAGAAGAAAACGTTGGCATAGATATTACTGAGCCTCTGTATATGCAACGACTTGGAGAGGTATCACATAACCTTTCTTATAAATTTAAGTTAAGCATTCTAAAACAATAAGTAAAGTATAACTTACTTACTTTATCTTACAGATTAATGTTATTGGGGAGCCATTTTTAAATGTAAACTGTGACCACATAAAGTTATTTGACAAAAATTTATACAGACAGCTTATCTGCTACCCACAGGTAAGAATTGGCTTTTTGGGGGGGAGAGGGAGATTTCTGCCATAGGGCGCTCGCTTACTGGAGAAACAGAAAGCATGAAATAGC